ATCAGTAACGTTAAGTGCACTCATTGCTCCATTGGAGGTTGAGTTTAAAACTATGTTCATATTTATTCTGCAACTGGCTACAACTTTTACATACGAATGGGATCACAAGTCCTCTGTTCAACGATTGTACACTACTACTTACATGTTATGAGTGTACACTTTCGTTAACCGTTACATTGTACAGTCATATTACAATGTAAATGAAGTTTTAATGCAATTCTTTAAATATTCGCCAAGAAGTTGTCAAAACTGTTTCTCAATACTAGGTATGTATCGTACCAGAGAATGAATAGAGAGCCTTATTTCTTATACTGTGACCACACTCGTTCAAGACAAATTCCGACTCAGTATGATTATACATATTACAATAGGTAGTTAACTTTGATCAACCAAACCCACATCAGTTTTAAGATTTACGTAGTTTCCAAAAGCTTAGTAATTCGTTTCATCCTGTGATCGCACCCGATTTGCGTATGATATTACTGACAACGACAACAATGCCTAAACAAATCATAGTACTGTACCTATGTTCTCTACAGGGAAGTAAGCTCCAAAGTTGAAACACAGTTCACCAACGTTCACCGAAATATATGCACAAAAATATTTATTAGACTAATCGTTTATTCTAAATGTAGAGACACAATCTTCAAATACATTCCAATACTGCTCAAAAAGTCACTATTGTAAAAAACAGCTCAATACGTGAGCAACACCAATGTTCAATACAGTATTATCTGTCACAAAATGTTGGTTCCCACAAATTAACCAGATACTCGCACGTTGTTTAAAGTTAAACGATACCTTTGTTGTTAATAATTTGACAGAAAGACCGCAGCTATTTCACCCGCTTCGCTTTAGTCCAAATTTATAACGGTTCTAATATGATCTCACATTACAAATTACAGCTTGGCTTTTTAGAGAAACGTATAAGTTTTTCCCACAAATCCAAATCCCACGCTCATGACGGTGAGCGCGCAACCCGGAAATATTGTTTGATGTAACAATGATCCATGGTTGATTAGATCAGATTAAAATGTTACACTAGTTACTTAAATTTGCGGACTGTGACTGCAATTACATTAGTCACACGTTTTGCATTTGCCTTTGAGTTAAGAGTGTTAAGTACGCAAACCCCAAACATACTTCAGTAGGCTTACCGACTAAACCGAATTGTTTCTAACTAGAGAATATTCAAATAGCCAAGGATTTGTTGTACGAGTAGGCATTATTCAAAACTGTACTGACTTTATGGTTTTATTTATAGTCCTCGATTACGTTTGCCAGGTTAAGCCTCTTACGTTGGAAAGGTTGACTATGATTTTTTTAAACTTAATGTGAATCGCAAATCGTTTCCTTGAATTATGATCTACTATGGCAAATATTACTCATATTAACTGAGCACATTATAAAAATTCGTGGAGATAGTTTTAGCACAGACGAGAAAATTAATTCTCAAGTCTGTTGTTTTACCAGGTTCAGTTTAATGTGTGGTTCCTAGCGACCAAATAAATGCAAAACTCACGTAAAATTCGTGGAGATAGTTTTAGCACAGACGAGAAAATTAATTCTCAAGTCTGTTGTTTTACCAGGTTCAGTTTAATGTGTGGTTCCTAGCGACCAAATAAATGCAAAACTCACGTGTTTTGAAGTTTTACTATGTACTTAAGTAATTAATTTTACTTTATCATTAGCTAAGAGATAACCCACCATCTAGATGGATCCACAGATTAAAATATAAAAATTCTCTTAAAACGAGTAATATTGCTATCCTCACAAACTTATTGACAACAAACTTGTGTGAAACCCATATAGGCCATGACCCATCGTCAGTAAAGTTACATGGTCCTCAAAATTATTAAATTTAATTTTGATCGCCCTACCCCTGCACATCGAACTTGACTTTGATACAAAAAAATGTCATCCCATAAAAACTTTCGTTTTGAAATGTTAATGTTGCAAACATAATTACCTATATTACTGACCTTGCAAATAAATTCGTCTCAAATGCACAACAAGAACAAACAACTAACTATTCCCTTTGTTTCAAGTTTCGTTTCCAGCAGTTGTTGCTTGTGTATTATTTACTCTAGTTGCAGCGCACTCTGTAACGTCTATTGTTGTACCTCCTTGAACCCATCGCCGGGTTTTGACCGACCCAGCTGACCCACAATGGTTTGACAATGACCACGACAAAGTTCGACCTTGAGACGACCTCTGAATCAGCTGATAACGGGGTTACTTGTTGCATCGTACACAAACATGACCTTGCATTCCGTTCTGCATATGGTGTTGAAGGACGATGTTTTTAATTTCCATAACTAGTATTTTATTTCTGTTGCGCATGGAGTTTAAAATAGTAGTGGTAGTAGCACAGACAATATAATACTGTAATGTTTATTCCATTGTCTGTGGTAGTAGGGTAAATTGCTTTATTTTGAATTATTATGCATAGTGACTGTTCCCAAAATAGGTAAATTTTTGAACACTCTGTGTATTGAAATCTAAATGCAAGAAAAGTTTAAAACATTTTAAAATGTCAACTAGACTACGTACTTCACAATTAATTGAGGTGATCATAGTCAGAGTCAGATATACACAATGTAAAACACATTAGTGGAGTCTGTTGATAGACAGAGCAAACAAACTAGTTTGTAAACAAGATAAGAGGACCTACCTTCATCTGATGATCCAATAATATTGCCATACTTAGACCCAAACAAGATTAAAGGACCTTCCATTGATCCAAATAGATGGTATTGCATACTTAGACTTAAACCAGATTAGAGGACCTACCATTGATGATCCAAATAAATAGTATTGCATACTTAGACTTAAACCAGATTAGAGGACCTACCATTGATGATCCAAATAGATGATGATCCAAATAGATGGTATTGCTATACTTAGATCTAAACCAGATTAGAGGACCTACCATTGCTAATCCTGATCCAAATAGGTGGTATTGCTGTACTTAGGACCTAAACGTGATTAGAGAACCTACCATTGATGATCCAAATAGATAGTATTGCTATACTTAGACCTAAACCAGATTAGAGAACCTACCATTGATGATCCAAATAGATAGTATTGTTATACTTAGACCTAAACCAGATTAGAGAACCTACCATTGATGATCCAAATAGATAGTATTGCTATACTTACACCTTAAAAAAGTTTAGAGGACCTACCATCTATGATTCAAATAAACGGTATTGGTATACTTAGTCCTAAACGTGATTAGATGATTCAAATAGATGGTATTGCTGTACTTAGATCTAAACCAGATTAGAGGACCTACCATTGCTGATCCTGATCCAAATAGGTGGCATTGCTGTACTTAGGACCTAAAAATGATTAGAGGACCTACCATTGCTGATCCAAATAGATATTATTGCTTTACTTAGACCTAAACCAGATTAGAGGACATACCATTGATGATCCAAATAGATAGTATTGCTATACTTGGACCTGAACAAGATTAGAGGACCTACCATTGATGATCCAAATAGATGGTATGCATCTGGTTAGTAGCCAGCTTCTGGGAACCTATAGTATAATTGGTCAGTTAAATGAATCATTACTCAATAAAGCTATATAAATATTGCACTGCTACTATGCTAGTAATGGTGGGAAACAAAATTCAAGTTCCTCAGACATATTACTCCTATTAATTTGAAGCGAGATAACCCTCAAAGATAAAATCCATTAAAAACTCATTAAACTAAGAGACAGTCTGACAGTCTTATGTCTGGGAAAAACCATCAATCATGCTCTAAATTATTGTGCTTGTATTAGGGTGGTGTTACTGGTGTTGAATAACTTGTTTTATTGTCAGTAGCAGTAGTAGTGGTGAATAAACCTTGGCATATGTTGTGGTATACATAAGTGGTATTTGTGGTATAAGTGGTATTTGTGGTATGCCAACATGGGGTGTTTCAGTTCCAGACAAAGGAGAGGTGCTACTATTGGTATATAAAGGGTTTTTTACTTGGTTTGGTTAATTGGCTAAAGTTGAAATCGTGTACCTTTTTTAATAAGTTGTTTCTTTGCTTTGTTAAGTGTTTCTTGATTAAAAATAAAAAAAACCAGGATAAATAAATCTTTCCTTAGTTCGCTCCTTAGTACTGACTCGTGGCTAATGACAAAAAACGAAAAATCTACCTACTACAATAATTTTAGAAGATTTGCAGATTACAGTAAATACCATCGTACATGGTACCACGATACAAGATATTTAAAGCAAACAAGAAATAACCCCAGACTTAGCAACCGTTTTACAAGAAGGTTAGGTTTAATGGGAAATTTATTTTAAATCAAAGCAAAAACCTTGGAATCAATTTAAATTTCAAAGTTTTATAAGATAAGTACACAACCATAGGTTAACAATAATCTTCTCACTTGTGCAATTGTTCAAAAGTATTTTTGTGAAATAAACCTCTTTGCACACCTGCCATATGAAGAAAAACATTTATTTCTGATAAGATTGGGTTCTGCTAGAGTTTTTTTATCAACAGCGAGGGGCATTAGGCTTGATTACTATGTTACACACAAATACTCAGCTTACTGTACACCCTCATTGCAGGAACGCATCCATTGATAAATCCCAGATCCTTTATCAATTCTGAGATTTTCTTTACAATTGTTCCCTTACCTTCCCCTTGAATGATTCCCCTTGAGGAAGGCTGTTTCCCCTGCTCATAGCATTTTCTGCACAAAAGCTCTTGATTGGAAGTCCCATCTTCAAGTTCAAGACTCAGTAACTAATAAAGCACCTGTTTTCCTCAGTCAATTTCTGCTTAGCTTTAGGACCTCTGATACTTCTGTACTATTTAGTGCCATCATAGTGGTTGTAAGCTGCCTACCATCCCAGTGTTTATGACATTTCTTTATCATCCATCCACTTCCCTTTATCAGTTCATCCCCTTGTGCAACCTAGCTTGTCTTAGGTTCATATTTTTTTTCGTATATTTTTATGTTTACATATGTTACAATTGTTGCAGGCACAACAACTGCAGAGGACCTGGTGCCGACATTGTTGGGGATGTATGACGCCCTAATAGGTCGAGCGCCTGCACCCCCGCCTACACCTCCGCCTGCGCCTCGCTGTGCACCTGCGTACCGCCCTCTCTCTGCCATCTCCATAGCATCATCCTCGTCATCTTCATCATCGTCGGGTAAGCAGCCCTTACTAATAGTGATAGTATAGGAAGATCTACTGCCTCTTGACAAAAAACTTTGAGGACCCCTATCACCTTAACTCCTTATTGAATTCCAGATTCCAGTAGGGTTAGTAGAGAGAAACCCCTAATTGTCACCTACCTGGTTAGCTCCCAATTTCTTGATTATCTTTTGCCCAACTGCCTCACAATCAGCTAAAAGGTGCCTGGGAGTTATCTCCTTAACTGGCAAGTTATCCTGTATGATGTTAATTTTTCTCAAGGTGTCCTCCTGAGCCTACAAAATCCTATTTAAATTCTCAATAATTTCTTACTCAATCTGATTATGATCTCATACATACCTTCTTACATGGTAAAGTCTCCAAGTAATTCCTTGGCCTGCCTACCCTAGAAGAGCATTAGAAACTTTTTATCTTGTAGGCCTAAACATTTTTTTCTGGCTAAGCTTCCTCTCACAAAAGAAATCCAGGTATGATGGAAGGAGTACAGCTCCTCCCTTAACAAGTTTATCTGTCTCCTCATTTATTCAGACACCTAAACCCCTTGATTTTCAGTTACGGCTAAAGAAGGGAAATCTTGTTGTAGATTGTCCCACACATAGTTTTCACCTACTATAATGAGACTTATTGTTGCATAAGAGTAGGAAGAGCCCTTCGATCATCAAATAGTTTTTCAGCTCAGCGAATTGCATTCAACTATCTTGACAATATGAAGTGGATCAAGTGGAGAATTTTTAATGTTTTGGCCTGATGATGTTTCAGTGACCAGCAGTTGTTGTAGTGGCAGAGTGGGAGTGAAGAGTGTAGCTTATCTGGCATCCATAGAGTCTCTGGAGGACAGTGATGAAGGGAAGAGACCCTCAGCACTGCATAGGCTTAAGGCCCCCTCGCAAGGTTAGTTTTCCTGTGTTGATTAGTTATATTTTTTTATAAAGCAAGACCCCACTAAAGATATAGCCGGTTAGTCGTTATAGTGCTCACCTAGTAATCATAAGGTTGCCGGTTCGATCTGAGAAAATTGTGGAACATTTTGATGGTTTGATACAGAACCTAGCTGTCCTTGCTTTAAATAAATTAATGGTAGACCCGTCCTGACTAATGAATCAGCTGGTCTTAGTAAAGCCCCTGTCACTCGGGACTTGTTTCAGCAGCTAGTTCTCACTGCGAGATCCAGCAGCTTCAGTTGCTGATTCTCCAGCGTGCTAGAAGTTATGTCAGACGAAGCTGGGGAACTATAGCTAAAAGTCTGACGCTGTGATTGGCACTGTGTTGTAAAACAAAAATCGTCTGTTGGCATTAGATGTGATATTTTGTCTATGATCAGCTATCATAGAAGTATCAAGTGCTTGGAATATTAAACGGTTTAAACCCTCCAGCGGCTGGAGATACCAGCTCATGCGAGTGTTTCTAGCAGCTGGAGAATAAGTCACACGATGCTGGTTATCCTCTGGCTCTAGCTGCTAGCTACTAGCGGTGGGGAAACCAGCTCTGTGTGACAGGGGCTTAACAAAGCTACACAGATCATATCATTTTGTTCTTCATTCATATTTGGGTTAAAATCAACACCTAGGGGCGTCCCTATCACATTAATTGGTAATTTATGATTGATTGATTCTCAAATAATCGTTTTTTAGTTTTGTAATGTTCTATTCCTTATATAGCCTGTTGTGTTTTTTTGAGGTTATGTTTCAATCTTCTGTTTAGTTTTATTTTTAGGTTATTACCTACTACCATTCACTATTAACCTACAGACTACTTACTGACTTGTTCGTGCAGGTTCTGCAGACAGTGGGGTACACAGTCCCCCTCCTTCCCGTCCTCACCTCAGCTACCGAGACAGAGTCGTCATCGAAATCATCGAGACGGAAGCTGTCTATGTCGCTGATCTCAGACAAGTTATTTTGGTGAGTTGCGATCCAAGCTCATTAATAATACCTGATGTCCTCAAACATATTTTTAGTGTCAAGAGAGATTTGGTTTGGGATACAATAAAGTACAATCAAGCAGTGTCAAAATGAGATCAAAGAAATCACTTGTAGCGTGTTCTCAACGTAAACTGTCCATCGATTCTAATTTTAGGCTTGCATACCTCATTACCTTGTAAAATAATGTAGGAGCTGCTACCAACAAATTTGATTTGTTGGCTATTAGCATGGCTAATGGGTGAATGGCTCAATTCTAAAGATATTTAACTGCTACTACTGAGGTGATTGTGATAGCCCATAGAATCAAAACTTTGGATAGTAAACGTGTAGAGCTCTCATCATGTTGTGTGTTTAAAGTGTGATATAACGCTTGAGTAGGCTGGACGTTGGTGTAAGCTAAATGATTCTCTTCTGTTTAGATTGAATTTACAGTATGCCCTTTATTCAAGTTACAAAAACCAGTGGATGAACAAATTTACTTGTACAATAAAGTTCTATAAGGTTGTAATAAATTAAAAGTTAGTATTCTAACCATTCCGACGAGGAATAAATAGAAGACATCAATGGCCTCAAGCCCTATCGGACAATAAACATTCCTTAAAACTATATTCAGTTTATTTAATCCAATGTAACTGCATATTGCCTTTACAGTAGCTTGATATTTAGACTTGAGATATATATTTTCCAAATATTGCAATAGTGGAATAATCAAATCACTCAGTACTTTTAAAGAAATATACCAATACCATAACTACTGAAGTCTCTGTATGTGTTGTAGAACTGCACCTCGGTCTTGAATAGTACAATCCCCAGAAGTCAATAGAAAGCGCCTTGCAATCGATTTGCAAACTTTCCCAGAGCACGTTAACTGCTAATTAACAACCTGGCCTTGGAATCCTGATATCGAATGTAGTAAACGTTAGCAGACACAATTCATTTGCAAAAACCCAGAGAATCTTCTAAACAAATGATTAAATAATGTACAATACGTATTTACATTTTTTTTTACGGAATGACTTAAGTACTTGATATGAAATATCTCTCAGTATAGAAATTTTTAAGTCTTGTAAAATGACTGATGATTGAACTGGTTAAATTTAGCAGAGAGGTTGAAAGATTAAGTGTCATGTTGCCAGTTTGAACTTGAAAAGGGATTAATCAGGACCCAAGTGCTATTTATTATTGAGATATTAATAATTAATGACACTTCCTCGAACATGTTGTCGTAAAAGGTAACAAGATTGTGGTTTAGACGGTTCCTATTGATTATAGTGTCAGGTAACATGTATTCAAAATGTTCAATTTATCTTTGCTTTCTTCCTTTCTTCAATTTTTATTTTGCTTTGCTTCCTAAAGTTAATCCGTCATACTTATCCAACTGTTGGTCTATAACCTCTTAATGCTCTTTTTTAATTCATAAACCACAAGAAACTCTTATGTTACAAAACTGTGTTGACATTGAAGTTTATATATATGATGAAGACAACATTTGGAAATCCATACAAAAAACGTAGTAAAAGAAACCAAGCAGATTATTCATCAGAGGATGAAAAATATATAAGCGATAAGAAGCAGTTCAAGGAAGCATTGAGTGTGGTATGAAGAGAGCATTGTTTTCCATTTGTGGTATAATGACCTTGAGGTCTGCAGATGTGAGGCTGATGTGAAAGTTGCTGTGTATACTGCAGACTCCAGTAGCAGCAGATCTGTGGGGGGGGGGGAGTTAGGCATGTTGGGGGGGGGGGTTGGCTGGCTCCTCTCCAAACTGCTCATTATCGTCTGCAACTGATTTGTGGACCTTATTTTCTCTTGCAAATAACCAATTTCGTTCCAACATGGTTTTAAATTTAATAATTAGTTTCAGGTTCTAGTTATTACTGTTGATAAAATAATTATTCCATTTAAATTTTGATATTTAAATGCATTTTTAGTTAACTAAGTGGTTAGAAAGCTCGCCTTCAAATCTAAAGATCGCTGGTTTGATTTAAAGTGAGATCTAAATTGGGATTAGGGACCCAGATACAAGTCTTTATTGGGCTATCAATAATAATAAAACTATCTTACAAAAGTCGACATTGGATGGTAGCAAGACCAGGTTGTGGACAGTTACCTTGCGAAAATCTATAAATAATACCAAAGAGGAAACATTAATGTTATTGCACAATTATTTAAGCAAACCAAGTTACCAAACAAAAGCTACTTTTCATGTCATTGTCCCAAAATGACTTCCATCTTATTTTCAATTAACTTTGATATTGTGAACAAGTTTAGTAAGGTATTGAATCATTTCCATCCATCATGTTTGTTTTCGAGTAAACTATACCACCGATATCAACAAGTCGAACTATTGATATAATACACTATTAACACTATTGATATAGCTATTATAACCATTGATATAGCTTACTTGAATTTATTTGATTTTCATTGTATTAAACCGTTTCCGGTGTCATCCACCTTCTTAGATCCAACGTAAATTAATTTTAATCCAGTCAAAACTAATGAAAAATGAGCAACAAATTAGTTGAAAACAATGGATAATACTTTCAATTCTTTCAATATACAACTGATTCGTTGAAATCAAAGTTAACAAGTGAGCAAAATATACTGCTAACGTCAACTAATCCAACTGATTTTTACTCCCTATAGGTAGTAAAAGAGCTGTTTAAAACCTGCATTGTACATATTGAAAACAAATTTTTACTGCAGTTAGACGAAAAAAGAAAAATTATTGGAATACTTTGGTCAATTTAGAGGAACATGAACAATGCATTAATAACAGCTAGAATTTTGCTTGACAAAACATATTATTAGTGTAAAATCGATCATTTAAAAAAGAGCATTCATGCAGCTAAATGCTACCCAACACCCGTGGAAGTTGATTAAGAGCCTGTAAACAGACCCTTGGCGTCGTAAACCCTGATTGGATACTGAACAATTCTGTCGCAAAGGCCAGACAGGCAATGGCTTCCGACCTCGGAAGTTTCCAATCAGTTTCCAACAAGTTTCCAATACTGAACATGCTTCTCAGGCGCAGTGTTTTTTGGAATTCTCTGAGTCATTTAAATGGCAGTGAATGGAAAGTATAGTGGTTGGCTATCACCTTTAACTCTTCATAGAACTAGACGCTCTATTCCTATGTTAAATTTGTACTTAAATAAAGTAAGAACCTTAAGAGTATTATAATCAAGCAAATATTATTGTTTCTAACACCGTATGTCATGTATTCACTCTAGTATTGTTGTACAGGGCTACAAGGAGAGGTGGCAAGGCAGCACAGACTGTCCCCTCTCTGATACCCAGATGGAAGACCTCTTCAGCAATATTGAAGAGATTTACCATTTTAACAGGTAATAATATTCGTGTCTTTTTTCAAAGCTACATAAATGAAACACATTTCAAAGTGTAATACTAGCACATATAATACCTCCTTAGGAGAGCAAATATCGGGTTTTTAATTTTAGATACATTTTTATTTCTCAAAATCATTTGGAAAATCAGTCCAACATTCTATGGAAATTTGATGATGATCAAACATTTAGCATATTTCTTCACCAAAGATAACTGTAGATATAACAAAGTAAAGTAATGTAATGTAACAATGTACTGTGCCCTATAATGAAGAATTTATAGTACCCTGTCTGAATAGATTACAGCAGTGTCTTAAAAATCTCAAGGGCAGCTTAAATTTGGTAAAAAAATATTAGACATTCAAAACAAAACTTCAAGACAATCTTTTTTCAAACCTCAATCCCTCAAACCAGTTCAATGCCTAATGAAGAGAAAAGTTATCAAAGTAGTTTGTGCCATGATTGCAAGGGACAGCTGAACTGATTATCAAGCATCATTGTAAAAATGATAATAGCCAACATAGGCTATACGTAAAAAAAAACACATGGAAAAACTTTTGATGAAAAAATAATCAGCGTAAAAAAGTAAACTTACATGTTACTTTTGGTAAGTGCATTAAAGAGAGGTTTTTGTTTTTTGTGATAAAACTCTTAACTATAATTTATAAAATAAATAACAAATATTTTTATCAGTTTATGTATTGTGTGTAGCTTATCCTGTTCAAGGGAATGACTGTGCTTTTCTAGTCCTTATTGAAAATCAGTTCTCATTATGTTTGTTGTTTGTTTGCAGCAAGTTCCTAAAAGAGCTAGAGAAGTGTGGGTTAGACCCTGTGCTGGTGGCTCGTTGCTTTGTGCGAAACAACGACGGATTCTCTATCTACACCGAATATTGCACCAACTATCCCAGGTACAAATTTAATTTAAGTAGCTATAAATTGTAAACACTATTTAATTAGACTCGGATCACAAAATATTCTACCCAACACCTGTGGAAGTTGATTAAGAGCCTGTAAACAGACCCTTGGCGTCGTAAACCCTGATTGGATACTGAACAATTCTGTCACAAAGGTCAGACAGGCAAGACCATAGCTATTAATCAGCCTACAACAACAGTTTAAGGAGAAAATTTAAAACATTGTAAATTTAAAATTCCCATGTTATTATTACGGAGAGTACATAAACTGTTGTAGTTTGCTTGTTTATGATTATATTTTAATGAAACTTGGCAAATTTATTTATTTCAAACTAAGCTATTAATATATTAATAAAAACTCACTTTATTAATCTCCCTGTGGCAGCAAACCTAGGTACTCATGAAACCTAATGTTATTGAAATTGATTTAATTGAAAATCAAATCAGGGAAATGGAAACTCACTTAATACGCAGGTTGGCTGTGGTGGGGGTATTTTGCCTATTCCATGAAATGCAGAGACGGAAAGCAATGTAACGTACATCAAATTTTATTGCAAGGAAAGTGAATAGGTTGCTGCAGATCTCTGGAGGGAGTTGAGAACACAAAACACTGAATGATTTTTTTTTAATTTTAGGTTTTACTGGCCGCCATTTTGAAATTACTTGATGAAACTTGACCATTTTCAACCCAGGCCAAGATAATGTATTCAAGCACTTGTGTGCCAAATTTCATGAAAAATCGGTTCAGGCATTCGGTCGTTATAGCCAATTCATGGGGACCCAGCATCCTCTTACGGATTTTGATGACGTCATTACGGACGACCGAGGTCCTTAAAAATTGGGGTCTGGGCGGTTTTAGGTTCAGAAACTTGTATACTATAACCACCTAAAATTGCAGCCTCTCTGCCAGAACTGAAATATTTTCCTGCTACCCAACCTGACTACAGTAGCTTATTCAACTCTGCATGTCTTTATCAGTAACCAAAAGTCAACCTATGTGTACCAAACATTGTGTGTACCTAGTTGTTGTGTTCTCAGGACGGTGAGTGTTCTGACAGAGTTGATGAGGCAAGAGAACACTGTCAAGATGTTCCGAGAACGTCAGATGGCTCTTCACCACACATTACCCCTCGGTTCCTACCTGCTCAAACCTGTACAGAGGATACTCAAGTACCACCTACTGCTTCAGGTAGTACAAGCAGCTGTAGTTGGAATGTGTAGATGTCAAAATGTGTTTAAGTGATTATTCTATTATCTCTCAATGGGACATGTGAGGATTAAGTAACATACAGAGGGTACTCAAGTACCACCTACTGCTTCAGGTAGTACAAGCAGCTGTAGTTGAAATGTGTTTGTACTAAAGAGTAACTAACTACTGTTGTAGATGTGTTTAAGTGATTAAGCTAAATGGTTTACGTTAGCGGGCTTCCATTTAAGTGAATATTCTATTCTCTCAATGGGACCACAGAGCAAGTAACATACAGAGGGTACAAGCTCATAGGACAATTGTGCGCTTTTAGCTCTGGTTTGTTGGGGTAGAAATGTACTTGTACCGAGCAAGGAAGAGCCTGAACGGCAAAGGCCACATATCATTTTTGTACAGCAGTTGTATCGCACAGGGTCTCTGCAATTTGTTGAGTGAGTTTAGTTCACATATTTAAACATTTTTTATCTCCATCAAACCGATTGAAAAATTAACAAATCTTTTTAATTTTCTCAATTTCAGACATCACTATGTTATGTTATATAACTGGGTAGCTGAGTAGTTATAGTGATCACCTATTAATTGAAAGGTCTCCGGTTTGGTCCTAAGAAATTTAGTTGCTTTTTGATGGTTCAAAACAATTGGACCCAGCCCAGCTTTCCTTGATCCAGTTTTCTTTGATTCAGCTTTCGTTGATCGTTCGGCTTTTAATAAATGGTCCTGGCTAAGAAAACAGCTAGGACTGACCTTCACCCATATTTGTGTTTAAATACACACCTAGGTGGCGTCCCCACCTCAACTGGTTGTAGTAATAATAATAAAAATAATAGTTTAAATAAAGATGTGCTCTCTCAACTTTGACGTGCCATCTTTTGTCAAGAAACACTTTTAGATAAGGAGGGTTAAAGAATTGTTAATTTACCAAGGGGAAGGGTTACTTTCTAAAGCGTTAGTGCCAGCACAAAGTAATACTGATTGGTTTGTTGTTTGTTTGCTGCAGAACATAGTGAAGCAGTCGTCCCCAGACACACCGGGCTACAGCGATATTGTGAACGCACTCTCCACCATGACTGCCATCGCACACCACATCAATGAGATGAAGCGCAGGCATGAACACGCAGTTAGGGTGCAAGAGATACAGAGCTTGCTGCTGGGCTGGCAGGTACTACAATAGTCCTAAGTCACTGAATCAACCAGGGTTGCCACCCGTCCCGATTCTGCCGGGACAATCTCAATTTTGGTTCCTTATGCCCGTATATAAGCCTATGTTAATTCGGGGAGAGGGGGGCAATGTCCCGATTTTTCCCTAACCTGAGGTGGCAACCCTGGAATCAACGTTCACTGTGTTGTTATACTGCTTGCACCTTAAAATCTGAACGTTTCTGGTTTGACTCCAAGGGAGATCTGGACCCTGGCGGTATTTTTTATCAGGCTGTCAAAAATTGATGCTAACTTAAAATAGATGTCAACATTATATTGTAAAGAAACAAGGGCTCTTCAAAAAGTCCTTAAAAAGTTTCTGCCTCTGTACTGGTAATACAGCGTTGCATAACAAAAAAAAACAACAAAAACACCATGGCGTTTGATAAATTTTGGAAAATATATTTACTTTACAACAAACTATAAACATTTACTTTCCCTGTAGAAAAAAAAAACAAAGTACAGTAAAACGCCGGTTAACCGAAATGGGGTTAACCGAAACTCGGGTTGACTGAAACGGTTCCATAAATTAATATCAGGGCTTAAATATAAGTAATATGTGAACAGAGAGGCCATTTTCTCGTTAGTTCTGACCATGTTCTGACTCATTGGAACATTTTTGTAGCTGAAATAAAAAAACTGTATTATATAGTAGACATTGTTTAAATTCATTTTTCCTACACACTGTGGTAATACATAGGCTATCCGAAACGGCTCTTCTTCCTTTATTTCGGTTAACCGGGGTTTTACTGTACTCGTTAAACGTAATTTTATTTAAATGGGGATTAATTTGACTTTAAGGATGTATTTGAGTAAAAATTAAAAAAATCAATCAGGCAAATGGAAATTCACTTAGCCTGCAGGTTTGCTGGGGGCAGGGTTTTTTAAAGAATATTTTTGATCAAATTTGGCAAACTTATTTATTTCATACTATGTTATGATTTGACTAAAAACACAATTATTTAACCTTCCTTTAGCAGCAAACCTAAGTAATTGTTAAACCTAATGTTTTTAACCATGTTGACTCTTATAGGGAGAAGACTTGACAACTTTTGGCGAGCTTTGTGCTGAAGGAACCTTCAGGGTGTCCGGTGCGAAGGCGCTGAGGCATGTCTTCTTGTTTGATCAAATTCTTCTCATTACCAAAAAGAAAGAAGAAGGCATACTTGGATATAAAGCGCATATAATGGTAAGTATATTGAGTAGAGGGATATTATTCCAAAAACTTTCTTTGCTTGTTTTTTTTTTTTATGTACGTTTTATTTCACTCATATGCACCATTTTGCACATGTTTCATCATATAGCAGTATCAAAGTTTTAAGCTGCAATGTGCTAACGGCGGCTTACATTTCATTTAACTTAAAGTTTTGACACCATGAAGGTGAATCATCGGTAAAACATTAGTCCTTCAAGTATTTTTTTTTAAATAACGACAACGTCCATCATTGGAAGAATTTAAAATTTATTTTTTTAAAGCAGTAAATTCTTAAAAATGTAAAATTGTTGTAATCATATAAGAATAGTTATATCAAAACCTCCTTGGTTTATTTAACAGGGAAAATGTTGACTGACCTAGGCAGTCATAGTAGAAGGATTATCTCAGGTATTTTAATTGAGACAAATCGAATCTACCATCTGATGTAGTCCATGGAATAGTCTAGCAAAATAGCAATGTTTTGTTACTCCAATCATTGTCTTAGCTAAGCTGCATGAACTTTGAAAAGCACAATTAAAAAACGCCTCTGTCCAAATGATATGGGTCATAGCTCTAACCTGATGTTATAATTGCAGTGTTCCAACCTGATGCTGATAGAGAGTGTACCAGGAGAACCGCTCAGCTTCCATGTCATTCCTTTCGACAATCCTCGTCTGCAATACACCCTCCAGGTATACTGTGTATATTAAAAAGTTATATCTTTATTTCAAAGTAGCCTCAAGATTTTTTTCTAAGGGTAAGGCAATGAAACCGCCCCAATTTATGGTACAAATTCAACACTATTTACCCTATACGTATATATAGCACATCAAAACACAGCTTATATTTTGGCATTTAACAAAGTCATTTTTCCATGTCTTGAAAACAAAATCCTTCAAGTGACGTCCTTGTCCTACTTGACATTCCTTTTCAGTCACTTGAAAATCCCATTGAATCCTCCTTCCAACATTTCTTCAGGAATCACATTAGTTTCTTGGACAATTTTCAAGAAAATCTCTAGGGCAACTTAGAAAAACCTTTAAATTTCAATTAGCTTATAGGGAGAACCCCCAAAGAAAGCAAAGAGCCAACGTAAAGCTTCCAACAACGAAAGCATCCTGGCAAACCTCTTTGGACTTTGAGTTACTGCGACTCACACTCTTTCAACATTTGCCGGTGTACAAAGAGTTTTGCGGTACCCACCGATTATTTTTATGGTTTTTTAAGCTGTTATCCTAAATAATTTTACCCAGTTCCCTATCGTTTTCCAATCTAAAAAAGTGTCATATTGACCAAGTATGGAATGTGGTCCAAACAATCTCCGAGTTACAACGTTTGTGTTACTGTACATTATACCATCGATATGTCGAACTATTGACAAGAATGCAACCATAAGCTAAAACCTAACCTAATAAATCAATCGATGAATAATTTTGATCCATACGATTACTTACAATTGAAATTTACAACGGTTTACAACAGCCGACTAACTCCCTAGGGAGTAAATATACTACTTTTAACCCGCAGTGTACGTATTAAATATGGCTGTTTTTGCTGCAGTATGACAAAAAAGTATGTTTTATCTGCAATACTGTTTTCCACTAGCATCATATGTTCAACCCAGTAACAATAAATCCCCGTATAATTATCACAGGCTCGCAACCTAGAACAGAAGCGAGAATGGTCACTGCAGTTGAAGAGAGTGATTCTGGAGAACTACAATGCTGTGATTCCCTCTCATGCTAGACAGCTGGTGATGCAACTGGGACAGAACAGGACAGACGGTGAGTAGATCCCTGTTAGAAGTCTAGAATGTGGAATAGTTTGTTTGTTTAAGGCTTGTATAGAGGCTGAATCACTGGAAGCTAGATTGGCACATAAAACAAACTGCTCACGTGAGTATCCAGTTTTAAGGTGCTGTTTGTGTGCCAGTTTTAACAATGTTTATTTTTCTAATACATTTATCAAAATTAAGATAAATTTTATAAAATTTAATTTAAACTGTTGTAGAGCCTTGATTATACCTAAACTGTCTGCGGTAAAGTCAGATGAGGAAAAGTTGCACACAAGACTGCCAACACAGAAAATAACAAACATCTAACTAAAAACCACGTTAAAAAGCAAAAACCATCAAATTAAAATTAAGTGAATCTCCGTTGTCAAACCTATCCAGGAATTTAAGTTTTTTTTTTTTCAATTGAAATCCACATTATTTCCGTTTTAAAGCCAGCATCCCAAAAAAACTTTTCAAAAAGCCAAGAAAAATTACTACTACAGTGTCTTTAACAGCAAAGCAACAAGCGACACTCATAGAATCTCTTCCCACTGCCCAAGACTTGTATGGTTGCGAGCGAGAGGCATACACTGCAGGTATAAGGCATTCACAACCATAATCATAATATAAGTCACATTTATAATGTGAAATGTGATCACAGATGAGATCCTTGCTGAAAAGGGAACACCCAAAAGACAACACTCAGCCCCTGAATACTTGGAGAAGAGGAAGCAAGAAAGAGAAAGAGGGACAGATAGAGGGAGGCGGAAGTCTGAGACAGGCATTAGAGCTCGATTGAGATCTAGAACATCAAGAAACTCTGAGTCAAACATTTGCTTGAAGGTGAGTAAATAAGCTTGAAAGTCTTGACATTTTAATAACCTATTCAGCATAGCATAACAACCCACAACATAAAGCGTTAAACACAACATCAGATATGGCCAAACAAGTGTTGTATCAAATAATATTTTGTAGTAAAAATAATTATAGGTTGTCAACATGTCTGCCAATGGTGTAAAGGGTAATTAAGAAATTATTTTGGTCTTTCCTTTTAGCTTTTTTAACAGTTTAACTCATTTATGCAATATTTTAACTTTTTTTGGCAAGGAATTGAAAGATATAGTCCTATATAGTGTATTATTTTTCTTTTTTGGACTATTTAAAGATTTTCTTTTACTAACACTAATTTTGACATTTTTAACAGGCCCAACAAAGATTACGTCGCAACACTCAGAGCCGAGACAAGAAAGATTCACTATCCTCCGAGAATGTTATGGTAAGTTTATCCGAAGGTGCCCTTTACTCACCTTTCTTTTTAATCAATGTCAACTGTATTTTTGAGTTGGAGTTAATGCAGATATTTATATTTTTAAATTCCATTGTGAAAAGTTCCTCAGCAAGGAAGTACTTAGTTTAGAGTACTATAATTCTCATTAAAATAGGTGTTACCCTTGCAGCTATGGCATTAGCTTCTTCCATATAGGGGAATTCAGCTAATACTATAAACAATAAGTCCTGAAACTTTTTCATCAAATGATGGTACCATTAAGTACCGTACGAGCAGAACAACCATTTCCATATTTTTAGATTGGGTAATATAGAACTTACACTCAAGAACAGGGAATAAAGAAATAACTAGTGATGGGCAATACGGGTCAATGTATCGATACTGCGTATCGATACGTATCGGAACGTGGTGTATCGATACGTGTACCGTATCGTATCCTCATGTATCGATTTTTATCTGTATCGGATAAAATATCGTATCGTATTGTTTATTTATAATTTATATAAAAAAATTAAGTATCTCAAATATACAAGCTGCATAGACAAATACTATGTTACTTACAAGCTTGTAAAGAGGGTTATAATAGGTTATTAATAACTTATTATATTATAAGCCCTTCCTGTGTCTTTTTATTTGTATCAAACATACATACATAACCTCCAAATTCCGGTAAACCCTCAAATTGGAAAACATTTTGTTATTGTTTTCCTAGTTTTTACACAGGGATAATTAATTGGACCAAAAAGTACTAATAATGATGGTGGGTATGCCACTTACACATTAAATAGTATAATATCACGGCCGCCTTTAACTACAGGCCAAGGCCTGTTAGAATTGGCAACATTGCAAGTGGTGTTGTTCAGTGACAGACGTCCCATAAGATAACATGACAGACAGGTGACATCAGCTCATTAATTTGCACTTTATTGATTTCATTTTTAATTTATGAACATAAATTTATTAAAATATTAAAAATAAAACATACATAATTGAAAATTGAAACAATATGAATTAAAATCTATAGCTGTTCATTTTTAAGCAGAGTAAATATTGTCATAGTCCAGTAATCAATCTTTCGTAAATACACAAATACCATTAGTTGCTTACAAAAAAATCAGCTGTTACAACACCACTTGCGACGTTGCCAGTTCGAAGGCCGCAGCCTGGAGTTAAAGGCGGCCGTGATAATATGGACAATGAGGGTCCCCACTTCCATTAATGGTGGCCCTAGTTTTGAGGTAATTGCAAAACATAGCTGAAAATACATGTTTTATCAGTGTTTTTGAAGATTAGGGTAAAATATCAAATTTCCAATACTTCTTTTGAGGGGAGGAAGATGGGAAGACAAATTTCTTACCATAAAAATAAGATTTATATTAATAAATAAGCAATACGATATTCGATACTATATTGGCTATAGGTGTATCGATACGGGCATATCGATACACTCCCACGTATCGCTACAAAATATCGATATTTTGCGGTCCTTGTATCGATACGCACATCACTAGAAATAACTACCTACCTACTTTAAAAAGTTACTTTTCCAGTTATAGTTATTCACATTGATTGGCATATACTTCACACCTGTAGTAATTACTGTAAAGACTGTAATTATTTGTAGTTTCTAGAGCTAGTATATTCTACAGCTGATATTTAATTTGGTGACTGGTTTGTCAGGAACGGATAGGAATGAGGCGCAAGTCGGAGCCGAGCTGTTTGCTGGCGGAGGAGGAGACGGAGATAAGACTGGACGCAACATCGGCCACAGAACTGAGGATATCCGAGTCAGACCTGACCACGGCTGCGGAGGTGGATGACCGGGGACCCAATGAGAGGAAACGGACCTTGGAGGAGATAGTGGGTCAACTGTTGATGCAGAACAGGGAGTTCCAGCGTATACTGAGCAAGCAGAAACAGCTGATCAGCAGACGACGGGCAGCAGACACAAGTGATGAGGAGGAGGACACCAAACCTGCCAGGTGAGATAAAAATGTCACGGTAATACAACTAGGGGAGAAAATAGAATTTTGATACCAGCACTCTGTGAGGTGGTCATTCAATTATGTTCCGTGTATGATATGGCGTTGTGCTTGATAGCAGCCTCACCTTCTCTGACCATGTCACACATGCTTCGCAGCGCGCGTTAGGAAGGCTGAGAGGGCTGTACAGGTTTAGAAGTCTGCTGCCAGAATCTGCGAAGCTGCGCCTCATGCAGTCACTAGTCCTGTCGGTGTTTACATATTGTCTCCCTGCTTATGGAAACAGCATCTCTGGAGTAGACATGACCCGAATGCAGAAACTGCAAAATTCAGCTATTCGCTTCATATTTTGCCTCAAAAAATTTGAACATATCTCTCCCTATAGAGCTGTAGCGGGGATGACAACAGTAGACACTGTTTGCAGGATCATGACGTGCTGCATGGTGCACAAGGCTCTTGTCTTACAGGAGCCACAGTACCTTCTTGAGAGGCTCTCTTTCCGGGAGGAGGTCTCTCAGCGCAGTACCCGCCATGGTGGTCTCCAGCTTCGCTTTCCAAGAGTGAGGCTTGAGTTTGGGAGACGAAGCTTCTCGTACTTCGGTCCAAAACTGTACAACGACCTCCCCTCTGGCCTCAAAAAATATTCTTTATCATCATTTAGAGTTAAGATCAAAGAATTGTGCACTAATGGTTAATTATTGTTACTCATATTGTCTTGTTTCTGTTTTGTTATGCTCTATTTATTTGTTGTTAGCTTTATATTGTTATTGACGAAAGTTGTTCTGAGAAGCAGTATTTGTACTGAGAAACGCTTGATAAATAAAGGCATTTTTATTTATTTATTTATTTTATGATAAATTGGCAATGGCTTGTGTAGATGGGTACTTTTGGATACTTCAGTACTATTCAAAAGTCAATGATACAATGCAATGTTCATTCAAGACCACCTATACACTTAACATGTTGATCTTGTTATGGATGATCAAGTGACAACCAAGTTAGGTACCGGCACATTTGGATATGTGTGGTACAATATAATATACAATATTTGACAACAGCATGCTGGTAGTGGCTAAATCTTGCTAAATTGAGTTTGATGTAACTTCTGATTGTCATTCTGCCTGTGATCAACAAGTACCAAACATACTTAAAGCTTGGCCAAGCTCTGAACTAATTAGAGCTAGGACCCTAGGGTCATCTGTCACACGTGCATGAGAGTCTGACCTATTTGACATTTTGAGAATTGCATTTTATAGCCCCTTTTTCAGAGAGACCTGATTTGTTGAGGATTATTAGACAAGTAATATATTATGTCACATATTGAGTCCAGCAATATGTGACATTAAATTTGAGTGTATTGCTCAAGTATCATCAAGCTATTGACCAACTGTTAGATTAGAAGTTTTGTCAGTTTAAGTAAGTCTATTGGTTCTAGATTTTTCAATAAAACACAATATGGTTCAATAAAAAAAAGTATTATCATGTTGGCTGTGTTGGCTGCAAAAGCTCTGAACTTGACATTAGCAGTTGCCTACTCATTATGATTTTATCATTTTACTAATGATGTCATTTGAACTTATTACTCTCTCTTTGTAATATTTGCCATACACTTATTCCTGTTCACCAAACTATGTGTATATTTACAGGCCGAGCAGGAGCCCAAATACCTACAACTGTCGACTACCCAACTCTGGTGACTATGACAACCTAAGGAATGTGTGGGAGTCAGTACAGGCGTTGGAGCGGAGAGCTAGTCTCAAGCGAACACAGTCCTTCACCAGCCACGAGTACGACAGTTCGCCGGACCACTCACTTCCCTGCAGTACCTCACGACTGTCACTCGACACACCCACCTCTCCTGCTGTGTGGCTCAAGCAACAACAGCTAGTCACCACGGCAACCAAGAAGTCAGGATCCCTGCCTCGCAGCTTCCCTCTTGCACATTCTGCCGAGTATCCCAAGCCTGGGCCAGAGCGGCCTGTGACCATCGCCTCAGATAAACCTCAGGGTCTTCACCTGGACGACATGGAGCGATACGTAGACACAGACAAACGTCTAGGGTGGAGGCATAGGTTCCCGGTGCCAGACTATACCACAGAAGAAGAAAGCACTACGGAGTATCTCTCGAGCGCACAAAGCTTCAATTTCCACCCTGAATACAAGATTTACAGAACCGGAATCACCAAAGCGGCTTTAAAATCAGTTATTTCGAGTGTGACAAATAAGTTAGCCAGCTTGAGAGCGAGTACGGAAACACTAAATGAGAGCGATTCGGACAGACGAACAAAGTTGACTCAAGCTTTCAACAAACTGAGGCGTAAAGAAAATGAAGACGAAACTCCGACTTACAAGCAAGGGAGTTCGAGGTTAGGAGCAAGGATCGCACACGGTTCTGAAACGTCAGATTATGCCGATCCAAGAGTTCTATTTCCCTCGATCACTCCTTCTAAAAAGGCAGCATCTCTTCTCGGAATACGACCGTATTCCGTGTTATCGTTAGTATCCAACCTGACGTCTTCTAGCGATGGTGATAAAACATCAGGGTATGGCGGAAGTATCGCTTCGACAGTTCAACTCGCTGGGAAAAAAGATGAACACGAAAGCGATGGGTCTGCAGATAGCTTTTATGAACGTTCCTTCGAGGCCATGGAATCCATGATGGACTCAGAAGTGTTTAGAGATAGTGCCATATTCAGTGATCCGGATGAAATGTTTGATCACGGTTTCGTAAAGCCTCGTTCTACAGAGACCCAAACCAGACCAAAGGTACCTCCGCCTGTTCCTGCAAAACCTGCAAACTTGAAGGCGATGTTTAGAATGAACAATAATGTAAATGTTAATCTTCCGGACGTTGCGAGACAAGAGGACAAGGAAGCAGATGAATGTGATTCTAGCTCTGTAGCCTCTACTGTTATAGAGTCAACCTCGAGCAAGGGATGGGTGAGGCACGTCATTGGCAAACTACAAGGCGACTCAGCTCAATCTTAAACTTTACTTAAACTACTCATGACAATAATTTAAAAGTAGTATTGCATTTCAGATCCACATATACTGTAGACCCTTGTGTCAGCATCATTATAAACACATGGTAGTGCCTAATACTGTGAGATGTACAGAGGTGTACAAGGGTTAGCTATTCATTTACTTAACTGCCCGATCAGCTATGTGCTGTTTTATGTCAAGGCAGGCATAGATTTTCCATGCAGCCTCTCTGCCCTTTACCATACTGTTGGCACAATCTGTAACAATTATATTCTCAAGTTTTACACATAATAATCAAAAATACCTAAGATTTTAGCTTAGCAAAAGTGATTTCAATGACAATACAATATTGTTGAAGTACCATTGTATGTGCAATAAATAATAATCAAGACTGCGCTTTGTTCTTACTCGACAATAATGTTTCGGATATACACAAGCAATCACATTGTACCAGTTTTAAGGTATTTCTCGATCTCTTGCTTGTCACACAAATTATTGAGCTTATTATAGCCTACATTTTTTTTATTTTGATATGTGAATATTGTATTTGTTGATGTATAGTTACTTATATAGCTCAATATATAATACTTAACTATATTTTAACATATTTGTAAAAATGTAAATGCAAATCCTTTAGTAAAGTGTAAACATACCACCAATTACTTTAATAAAGTAAATTAATAAAAACTTCTAACTTATGAAAACCTTGTATTTCTTTTTTACCCATCAAGCTGATGCTCATAGCTTGTATGCTTTGACTGTTTAGACATTCCATCCCCATGTTAAAGTTGTCGCCTGTTTTTCAACCAGAATTGTTGTAGTTGATGTGTGCCACCAATATATTGTGCTGATCTAAATTACTGATTTCTGTCAAATACACTATCTTGTTTACCAATTCAAACTAATGGAATGACTTATTGTGAGCTATAGTAACTTTTATGATCCATCAATTTGACCAGCAACAAAAAATAAGGTGGAAAATAGAGTTTTAGTCACTAGCGCATTCTGTGACTGGCGCACACAACTACGTTCTCTAAAAAAGTCCAATATAGATGGAACTTCTACTTCAGTATCTAATAGTCAATGTTGTATGTTTGATGATAAATTTACTATAAATACCAAATATCCTCATTCAAACAAACCTGGATGATAAGAAAATTTACAGTTGTATTATAGAATGTTGGTCGAACCACTTCTATACACTTGACCCCCAGTTCCACATCCAATAATAAAATTGGCTGAAGAGTAGGTACATAGACTAAGGAACAAGAAAATGTTTTTTTTTGGTTCAGTTTGTTGTAAAATGCTGCCAAAATGAAGAAATGTGACAAATTTCATTTGATGAAGTTAATAACCGATGTATCTAGGTATAACTCATTGATGGAATATAGCATCAAGATGGTTAAAATAAGCAAATGTGCAGGCTTTTTACCAGTGCACCCAGTCGCCCACACAACCAGGGTATTTCTGTGTTAGTTAAAATTGCTTCTAAATAAAATAATCAATTAATTCTTTGCAAGCATAACATGGTTAGCTCATTAAATGTTTTAATGAGTACCTAATAGGGGTAAATTAGTGATTTAAAACACAAATTATTTAAAGGCCAAGTAATTTTTGAAACTTGATAAAAGGGAAATAACTGATTATTATTGTATACATACAGTTTAAAGCACCAAAATACTTAGCCACACTGTCTTACTCAAATATACATGTTTTCAAATATGTATACGTTTCTTTAAAGGTTAAAAGTTTTTTTACAGACAATTTTCATGAGTCATTCTTGTAAGCATTAATAAATTTTTACAAACATCTATTTATTTAGAAAGTTCACAAAATAAGCTGTATGCTTGTAAAAAGAAACAGAGTGAAAATATGAATTTTCTAATGTTATGCAATAAAAAACACAATCTCATTAATATCCTTTTTCTATTACATTTTTATTACATTTTGATAAAATTACTTATTACTTTGCTGAGGTCAAATATTTATGATAATAATTTAGGTTAGAAGTTTACTGGAAAAAGGTTAAAAAGTTGAATTTTTTTCTTCTACAGTAATACTTAATTGAAAAATATGAGTGTTTAAAAACAATATATGATAGCCTATTTCGACAAACTGTACAGAACTATTAAAAGAAACTCGCATAAACAATTTATTAGAAAATTATTAACAAATTTGATTAACTCTAAACCTTTACTACTGGTACCATTAATAATGTAGTATTTGTTATTATTTAATTTAATAAAATATTTACACATCTAAAGTAGATGGTGAAAAGGGGAGGGTGTGTTTTGAAGGTGACATTTGTATAGGCTAGCCCTGTCCTGGAAGTCCAGTTTGAAGAGGAGATGATCCAGGCCCAAATGATGATAAGTATGATTGTGTCTACCTTTTCTTATGATCTTATACACAAAATAGCCTTTTTGAATTACCTTAAAGTGTTATTAGGGACTGGATGTTTGTGGATTTATATCTTCAGTATATACACATTAAACTCATACGTAATTATTTGTACTGTTTGTGTTTGTCCTCTGTGATTATATGAGCTACTTCCATCCGTAATCTCTCATTTGTTGGATTAAATAACAGGCAGGATAGGTTGATTAAGTAAAAGTATGTATTAACAAAAATACTCATCCACATACTGTAGATAAACCCCACACCCCACCTACAATACCTTGATTATAGAAACTGTGCCTTACAGCAAATACATCTGTAACAGGCTGTATCTAGTGAGCAAAACCTTTTCACCCACCATCTCAAATGTGTAGATATATATTTATATTAAGTTTATACAACAAATATAGTAATAAATAACATGCAGAGTTAGGTTTATCAAATATTCCCCATTTCTAATACTTATTTTTGTAGATAAATATATTCCGATGCTTGATGTAAAATCCGTGAGTGCATACCTTCAATTTGATTTGAAAATCGGTCCGGTAGAAGAGCCAAACAAACTCGGAAAAGAAATACATAATTTTTTAACATATAAGACTGGAGGACCCATGCTGCTCTGCAGCATTGAAATAAATATCATATCCGAGAAATCATCAAATTTATGATTTTTGATTGAGTAATACAGTATCTTGAACTAAACTTATTCAAACGGTCAATAGCTTAAATTAAAGCATATAATTTACTGATTATTTTAAGTCAAAAACATAAAAAAACATAAACAATACTGGAGCTATTGATTTTAAATCATAGAAGAGCCTTATAAAATATAATTGTTATATTGGTTGTTCACCTTACGTTTTGCTTTAAACTCGTCCGATTTTAATAACTAATAGCTTAAATGAAAGCCGGTATTTCACTGAAGGTTCTTAGACCAAAATATATAGGATTATATAATTATAACTGGCAAAATACATCTTAAAATGAAGTAAGATAAAAAAAAATTCAAATTTATGTTTTTTGGTCGAGTAATACAGTAGAGAAATATATGCCGTTGCTTTCATAAAAAAAAATCAGACTAAAATATTAAGTGTGTTTGTTGGTGTATAAAATTGACTTATACTTCTCTGATTGATATATTTCTGCTTTACCAAGTATAAACAAGAGGCTATATAAATTATAGAATATTTTAAATATTCGAACCCCACTCAGATTTAATCAATTGAGAAATAAACATTTGATTACTGGTTCTCTGACACTAATGAGGTATAGCTTACAGTAGAAACAACATTCTATCTTAATCAAAACATTTAAACACATCAAAACTTACACATATTGTTTACTTTGTTATTTTATTGTAAATTGGTTTTCATTACTAATTTTAAAATTTTTATGGTTTTATTTTGTTATTTCTCACTCAGAAAAGATGCTCTGATATAAAATATTGACATTGAGTTAATAAAAACTTGTGTACTATTTAACTAAGTTGAGGGAGTTGAACAGTGTCCATTTTATTGATCAACCCATTATAAAGCTCCGGAGATTAGCTATACAGTTGGAAGTACTGTACGAATATTTAAATAAACGGTATCAGCAATCTGAAAGATACTCTCCCATTAGCTTGCCAACAACCTGTATACCGGTAACCGGTAGAGTAACTTTGATATTTTATAGGGAAAACCCCAAAAGCTGTAATAACTTATGAACCGTAATTTTTACATGGGAGCTGTACACTTTTGTTCAGAGTTCAAAGGACAATAACATACTAAATTTGAATAAAAATCTATCTAGCCGTAATTTTGAAAATACGATTTTCCGTTGTTTTATGGTGAAATCCCAATTAGAAGTCAATATTTAAAAAAAAAATTTTGATAGCTTGCATCATTGACTATTGGATACAGAAGCATCTCTGTACAAGAACCTTCGTCGATTGTAATCATCATTAAAAAAAAAATGGCTGAGGACCATCATAAAAAATAAAAAATAACTCAAATCCGGGACATCGGTCAACATGCATAAACGAAATGGAAACCCCAAAAAGGGTATTTTTGTATTAGCAAGGTATCACTTAAGAGTAAATATATTTTGAAAATCAGACATTTTAATTTACAATCTGCAAATGTTTGACCCATTATTTACACACTGAGAGTTGTTTGAACATAACTCAAACTCAGGAACCATGGTCAATTAACTAATTTCCAATTGTGTGATTGAATAATTGCAATATGTTCTTATTCAAAGAAATAATATTTATTCGTTGATTTGCTCAGTGAATTACATTATAACAGGTCAATTTCGAATCCATGGGCGTTTGTTAAACAAATATACATTTAATATACTGTAGTGTAGTATTTGAAATAACGTCAAATGAAGGGAATTTCTTTTTATAGCCTACTACGGGACGATTGAAAAAAATGTAGTTTAATTCAGAAAGTTGTATACAAAAATACCCTTTGTAAGGTACACCACTTCTGTTTCTAATCATGCGCAACATTCAATTTCATAAAGTTTGAAAGTACAAGATACAATAAAAAAATTCATAGTTAGATAAATATTTTTGGGCATCACTCACCTTTTTCAAATTAGGATAACGCAGTCCTCGCAACCCCATCAGTTTCTATCATACACAAACAAAAATAAAAATAAAAAATAAGTAAAAGTTTAAAATATAAATACCCCCGCCGCAGCAAACCTGCAGACTAAGCGAATTTCCATTTGCCTGATTGGATTTACACTAAAATGTCTCCTTAAAAATATCACATTTATTCCCTATTTAAATCAAATCAGTTAACACATACTTAGGTTTGCTGCAACAGGGAGGGTTAAAGTGTTTTTTTATGTAAAATGTTAATAGTAAGAAATAAAAACATTTTCGAAATTCGGGCAAAATATGTTAATAAATAAGCAAACTACAACAGTTTACTTATCCTCCATAAGAATAACATGGGAATTTTAAATTTACAATTTTCTTGAATTTTCTCCGTAACCATTAGGCGCATTATAACGCTTCAATATACTAAATTATTTGTTTTTTTAAGCTCTACAAAATAGTTTGGAAAGAAATTGCAAAAATTTAAGTTTTTTGGGTCAAAAATGGGAAAAACCCATTTTTACCCCATAAAAGCCCCCATAAACCCCCGTTCCCATGGTCCGATTATGCTGGTTCGCGAACTCGTTCGAATAAACGTAGGTTTACACGTTTGTACCAAATTTCATCAAAATCGGATCATTTTTGCTCGAGTTATCGCGCTAACGGACACATATATAAATATATATATAAATATATAT